ACTACATTTTATCGTCTTTTATTTTTCATTCACAACATTTTTTTTTGTGTGTTTTCTCGAATATTCAACTAACACAGCTGCGAATTGATGAGGCTTACACATACAAATTTACTTCCTTCCGGTCTTTTATATACATAAAAATCAAGAAAATGCCTCCGTACATAAATAAGACGAGAGAATCTTTCCCCTATTTTTACATTTCAACACAAGAAACTTATTTTCATTCATAAAAATAAAGGCAACAAAAATTTCATTCATCTAATCAAAAACACATTTAATTACTAGTTTAGAGACTGAATAATGGATTGAGAATTAGCGCAATATATAATAATAATATTGTATAAATCAAGCTAGAGAAAATTAAAATTACGCGGGTAAAATTACATTTTCATTCATAATCTTGTTACTTATTTCTCTTTTTTATGAATGAAAGGAAAAAAAAATCTATGAATGAACAAAGTTTTACTAGCATTTGTGTACAACAATGAAAATTGCATGACTGTATTAGAGACAAAAAGTGCTGTTGTTGCTGTTTCTCCATCATTAAATACAGACTGTCTATATAAATAATATTTTTAACAGCACACACAAAAAAGAATTGCTCGCTCATTCATTTATTAATTTAATTGACACTATGGATGTCGTAAGCAGCTTCTATGATTCTTTTTGACTTTTTTTGACATACTGTCCATAATGTAGGGTTGGTCACTCTAAGGTGTAGCTCAAGATTCATACTTTAATTTAGAAATTCATAAACATTTTTGAATCTGTGACTTGTAAGTAGTTTGGGAGGGTCTCTAAAATCCCAATTATCAACATACATCATAGACGAACGACCCTAAACATATCCACGAAATTTTTAAGTTCCTATAAATAGACAACGAGGGAAAAAATCATTTAAAATGAACCGGATAGTTCTATTAATCAATTGTTCATAAGAAATACGGACAGGAACGGAAATCTTGATCTTTAAGAGAGTCTCACAGCTCAATATCAGCTTGGAAAGTGTAGAGTAAATGGATGGCTTGTGTGACAGTAGCTCTTCACTTAAAATAACAAATTGTAAAAATATTTATCGTATTAATTATAATCTTCTTTCTCTTTACACTGTTCACGTTCGAGGAGCAAGATAAATGACTTTTCTCATTCGTTTTGAGGGTCTTGGATTATTAGTTTCAGTTTATATTGTGACTGTGCAGTTGAATTGGTTTTATTGAAAGAATTAAATTCAATGAAATATGCTGGTTTATTACTAGATTCGAACATTTTCTTGATTTTTGAAGACTTATGTTGGATATCAATTGATGCTAAAAACTGGCACTCAATAAAATCATTCAATTCTTTGTCTGATTAGAATAATTAAATTTGATTAAAAATAAAGTTTAAAATTTAACTGGCAAAAACAATTTAAATTTTTCTAGCTTTGGTTCATTTAAAATTTAACTGGCAAAAACAATTTGAATTTTTCTAGCTTTGGTTCGAGTCTTTGCTAAATTTGAATACAAAATTACCGTTAAATTTTCTAAATCATTAAAAAAAGGCTACAATTGCTTTTTGAAGCCAAAATGCCAACAAAATAAAAAAAAATCCAATTAAATTAAGATCATCATCCAAGAAGGATTGTATCACTGAGCAACATCATCACACAAATTGCAAATTGAAAAGTATTTCAATTATCATTACACAATTAAATTACTCCCATTACTACAATTTCACATTGAAAACGTGCGTATCGCTGAGCCTTGACTTCGTTTTCCTTGTGAAACTTTAAATAACTTCGCTTTTTTATATCACAAACAATCTTCATCGTTTATATATAAAATGCATAAATAAAATGTGGAAAAAATTTCAATTTTTTTTTAAGTTCTCTTTTTTTGTATCTAGCCGGAAACGTCAATTTATTATCAATTGATGTCACTTTTCACTCAAATGTAGTAAATTCGATTGAAATGCAAGCAAGTAAGGTAAAAGCAGCTGACCGCAACTCGGTTGACATTTACATGTAAGATTCATATAATTATGTCGAAATTACACACCACGAATGAAAATAAGACACAAAAGTTTTGTGAATGGCACAAATAAAAACATATAAAAGTTTTTTTTAATGTTCATTGAGAAATAAAAATTCATTCATAAAAAGTGAATGAAAATAAGACGGACTTTTTACGCATTTCGCTTTTGCCACATATGTTTTCATTCACAAAAAACAGAGTTTAAGCATTTGTAGCCGAAATTTTAAGCTATTTTTAATTGTCTACCTGTCCATTTTCACTCAAAAAAATTCGATTAAGGATAGATTTGATAAAGGATTGATTAGTTGATCTGGAAGTTACCCGCACGACTTGTCTGATTCAATGTAGCTATGGAACTGACTTTTAAAACCCGTTATTTTCGAAAAATTCAAAAATTGCTGAGTTTTTCAAATATTTTTTAACTGTTATTTTTCAAATATTTTTTGGATGTTAATTTTCAAATATTCTTTGACTGTTAATTGGCAAAGCTGTTTAAATTTAAGTCTGCATGCGCTTTTAACACCAACAAGTGACCTCATCTAAACAACCTTAAGCTTATTACGAGCATTTTATATCAAATTAAAATCATGTTTACTTATATACATGCTTAAGGTTTTTGCGTATTTTTCAATGGATTTACGCAACAGTAAAAATGAATAAACAACAGTCTCGAAATGCTAGCAAAAAAAATTATTATAATACGTGTTATTTCATAAAAATACGATCGCCGTATGACGTATGCTTATTTGAGCTTATTATTTTGCATTTGCTGCATTGCATTTATCACAGTTTATATGATTCCGGATGTAATACGATATATATATTGTGTGTATACTTTGCCAAGTAATCTTTCTCTCGGTAAAGGCAGTAAATTCAGCGAAGAAAAGAAATAATAATTATAATTTCAAATGAATTATTTCGGATAAAGTTTTGTTATGAATGAAATTCAATATGCAATAATTGTTGATAAGCAAGTAAGCTGCTGGCAAATAAAAGAGTCTACTTGCAGTTTAATAAATGATTAAGACACTTTTATATCTCCATTTAAAGACACATAGTTTAATATGAACATTTATATTCTTGCCGAAGGTTAACGATTACTTTAATGGTCGTTTCAGATATCTTCCCTGCAGTTAAAGCTATGCTAGAAGTTTAGATTTTGTTGATTTTTATAAATTTGGTTCCCAAACATTTGAGTTGAAAAACCGGAACTTTCAAGTTGATCAGTGAACAAACCTTAGCTTAACTTTCTAGTTTCCCGCCATAATTTGAGATTTGTAAATATTTAAATTACTCAAATCTGAACTAAATTTGATTAAATTACGTGATATCATCCAAGAAATAGGAAATTGTCTAATAATAAGTTGGAAAATGATCGATTTCAAGATAAATCTTTAGTTTAAATATTGATTTGAATCAGCTGATTCCACGCTTTTTGCAACGTGATGCATCTTCTGTTGCTAATCAATCATCAACAAATAGATTTACTTAATGTCTAGCTTATCTAATTATCAACAATTCCGATTCATTCTAGTCGCAACATTAAGGAAACTTCGAATGTTCCTTAATGCTAATTCCAGCCCAAAACAATCCCAAGGGACAGCAAATGTATTCTAATATGCACAAGAACTTAAAACTCATGATTTCATATTACTTTTCATTTATATTCTTACAAAACAAATGAATGAATGATAAATGCAGAAACAGAAATAAGTGTCTACGTGTATCGTATTTAATTCTGCTATTTAACTCTTAGTTTTATGCATTCTAAGCATTATAATTTGTACCTCACTGCGATATACGATACAAGGCGAGTCTCACTTTGATTATAAACAGAACTTTAACTTTTAATTCATTATACTTCAGTGTAATTTAAGTTCTTTTTGAATTTCCTGTTCGGATCGAGTCTAACTCATCTAATTATTACACGAAGCCTCATCAAAATTAATCTCAATTTTGGCCACGTTATTACTCTTTGGGTTTTCGTTCAAATTTGACTCCGTACACCATCATTAAATGTCCGAAACAAAAATCGAAGAAGATTGGAAACACCTGTTGATTACTTTAAAGGAAGGGAGGCAAGAGGCTTCTTTCTTGTACAACAGAAAAGAATAAAAAAGGCCCTGTAATTATCATTTAACTTAAATAAATCTCATTTCGTTCCATTGAGGGCATTTAATTGGAACTCTTCCTTCTCAAATGAAACTTGATTTTCATGATTTTGTGCCCGATAGCCACGAAAACAAAGATGTTATATATAAACAATGATAATAAAGTTTTGTGCACCTGAATTTACACAATTTTTTACTCTTTCGTGTTCTTACTCTTCTCATTTTATTGTTTTTAAGTTGTGTTATTGAAAAGATTTTGTCAGGTTCCTTCAAAATTGTTAATTTTCATTAAACTTGACTTTTCCTTTTAACGTATTTAAGAAATTTAAAAACTTTTACGTACGCAATTTTACGCGAATTGAGAAATTTTACGTACGCAAATTGAGAAATTTTACGTACGCAAATTGGGAAATTTTACGTACGCAAATTGAGAAATTTTACGTACGCAAATTGAGAGCTTTTGTGTACCTAATGAATAATTTTTCGTGTACGTAATGAATGAGCTTTTACGTATGTAACTAGAGGGCTTTTACGTACGTAATGAATAATCTTTCGTGTACGTAATGAATGAGCTTTTACGTACGTAATTTGAAAACCTAAAAACGTAATTCTTGAATTTTCCGTTAGCAATATTTTCGCAAAGTCTACCCACATTAAAAATATACTCAAAATCAGCAACAACCTTCCAAAATCAGAACATAAAAGTGACAAATTCCCATTAAATCTATCGCTTGCAATCTCTCCAGTAAAAAAATATATTGACATCCTCAATAAAAAAAGAGCATCAAATTAAAATTTTCAGACAAAAACAATTCCAAGGACAGGATGTAGAATAAGAGTCACAGCAACAAAATAAAAAATTGATAAAAACACTCACCTCAGTTTTATCATCTTTCGTTCTTACAACACATATGGGCGTTCCTTCCTTCACAATTCCAGCTTCAACCATTACACCCATTACAATCGGATCGCGCGAATTGAATATAAATTGTGGCAAAATCTAGTGGAATATAAAAAAGCAGAAAGAAATGAGTGCATTTCATCACTATTAAATTAAGTTTCATTCATTAAAAAGTTTTATTTCATTTTTATGGCCTTGATTATGATTGCTGAGAGATGAAAATTGATGGAACTTTATGCCAAAAAGGTTAATTTGCTTTTTTATTGCTTAAAATAATGTTCTGCAATTAAGTAATAATTTAACGTATTTTTGAAATTTGAATAATTTAAGCTTCGTCAAGATTGATAACCGTTAAATTTCAAAATTAAAAAGTCCATTAAATTTTCAAATTTAAATGTACAAACTAAGATAGAATTGAGTTGATTATCACTCTCGTTTCTTCAAACATACTTTCATCAAACAAATTAATAACAACAATTAATAATGAATGAATAGCGATTGATTGTTTAGCAATGAAAATAAACAGACAAAATAGATCAATGAACAACGAAAAAAAAAAATAAGAAATAAGAAACTTAGACTACATTTACATCAAAAAATAATAATTAATTACCTTCAGTTTACATGGGAAAACAGCAATTGATTTAAATTGATCTCGTTTCTGTTGCTTCAATTCTTCTCGATAGGCAGTAAATTTATCGAACAAATGATAGATGATGTCAGCTTGGAATATTTTGACGCCTAAACTGTCTGCCAAATCTTGTGCATCGCGTTCGATTTTGACGTCAAATGCCAAAATTGTTGCGTATCTGAAATAAAATTCAAGGTTTATTTAATTAAATTAACTTCAAAACTCATAAAAATGCAAAAAGGAACCGAAAGAAGCAAAAAAGTATCAAAAAAGAATTTCTGACCCCGACGTGACTTGAACACGCAACCTTCAGATCTGGAGTCTGACGCTCTACCAATTGCGCTACAGGGCCATTTTCAGAACCATTCAAACTGTACGGTACTGAGCTATATAAACCATGTGGCTTAAGTCTTATTACATTACCTAAATCTCAATTTTATATAGACCTGTTTGAAATCAGTATATGTAGAGGCAATAATGGAGAGTTCGATTGAAGTAAATTTATATTCGACTTTACTTTTTTCTGATTTTTCTTGAGAACCTTTCAGACCTGACGAAAGTAAGGTTTTTTTTGAGAACATGGAAAGTTTTGGAAACTTTTTTGCATTTGGAACGTGAATGCATTCCAATAAGTTTTTATATTTAAAGAGATGTGTTTTAATTGTTGAGGATCTGCGGATTCTTCAAGTTTGAGGTGACTTTCTGAGATTTTCTGAGGCTTTTATATTTTTGAGAATTTTTTGACGAATGATTCTGAGAATTTGGGACTTATAAGCTACAACATTAAGACTGTCAATTCGAAAACATAGAATTGTTGGTCAATTGGAAGTGTTTTGATTATAGCAACATCCAATATACAATTCTTTTACTGGAACAAATGGAAAATGGTGAAGATTTCGGTCTGTTCCAAAAGAATTTCAATGAAAATGAAACAATTATTAAAATTTGAAGTTCGGAACTAAGGAACTATAAAGATATCAACATGATTTGGTCAAATCATTTTATTGTCCGCAATTCCGAATGTCTTTTGTCTCAGTAATTCCTGACACATTAATCATATCCTAAACTATTTACGTCACACGAATTTCCTCTCAAATAAGCATGAATTACTAAACTTCCTCTACATCCACTTAATACTTTTCGTGATAATAACGTAATACTTTTTTAAATGGCTTAGTCATTACGAAAGTATCCAAAAGAAATGTGCCATTTTTTCCTCAATGAAGCGGAAATTGTGTGTTGTCATACAAATTAAATGTCCATTAAACAGACATTATTGCATCACGATTGAAATGTTGATAAAATCATTCAAAATATTTTCTTTACTAAAATTGCTTCCTGACTTTTGAGACGAGTTCTTAAGAATTGGAAAATGTTTGAGATAGCAGAAGAGTGGCATGATGATATGTAAGTTTGATATAAAGTATAAGTCACATGACAACTTAAGAGACATTTTGTGGCAGGTTTATTTGAAAATTGGCAATTTTACTCTGGATCAGGCACTGGAATAGTTCATAAAGTAGGTTTTGAAGTCAGTTCCTATATTTTGATCCTTAGGCTACCAAATTTGAATTATTTGAGCCAGTTTAAACTTTAAGTTTGTCATGAATAACAAGAACCAGCCATATAACCTCAAAACTAAGCAATTCATACCAAGAATCAGACAATTATAGTCCAGAGCCTTAATGAGCTAGTCATTAATAGCTACAATTGTATAATAAACAAGATCGACTACAATACTTACTCAGCTTGATGTTCCAACATAATCGATGCCTTCATTACATCACGTTTGACTACTGGACCAATCCTAATGCCAGCATACTGTAAGAAAGAAATAATATAAATGGAAAGGATATAAAAATAAAATTTACGATTTTTAAACTATTTTGCATTTTATATTATCAGATAATCAAGTTTTATCGCTCATGATCAGTAGTCCAATTAAATACGTAATCAGGGCAATGTTCGTTTAATATGCTCGATTATATCATCGTCATCCACAATGATTGTTACCAATTTAGCTTTTTTGTGCATTTACCAAAACGTTTCATTCATTCATAATACGCCTGTGTTCAAGCCTCTAATAAATGTAAATTTTTAAATTTCTCACAAAATAAGACACTATTACACATTTCAGCTTGACTTGATAATTTACATCCAATTAAATTTATTAGCATGATTTTGAACGCCAACAGTTGTCGAGTCTATATAAAAACATTTAATTAGTTTACCACACAATGAAATTCATTCATAAAAAAAAATCAGCTAGTGAGAAGTATGGAGGCAGGAAGAAGAAGAAGAAAATGTTAATGAACGTAAAAAGCTAACACAAACCGTAGCAAATTGATTTCCATTCATTTAAGAAATTCTTCTTTTTCTAGAAAATGGTATAGAAGTTGGAGTTACATATTTGAGCTAGTGACCTAAGAGAAGCTAGTTCAACTGACTAGTAGCTGGCAAAATTTCAAAGATTTCAGAAATAATTTAAAAAAAACTAATAAGGGGCCGTTCACTTATTACGTTCGCATTTTAGAGGAAGGGGGGGGGGGGGGTTGAAAAATTGTAACACAGGGGGGAGGGGGGGTAGTGTCAATTTTGTTTACAAATTCACACCAAAAACATTATTTTTAAATTTTCCACCTTTTTAATGATTTATGAAAAATTATCAAAATAAAATAAATTATTATCGTTCAGGGGGATGAGGGGGGGGGGGTTAGAGTTGTAACATATTGTAACAAGGGGGATGGGGGTTGAAAAAAGTCGTTTTTCTGCGTAACATAATAAGTGAACGGCCCATAATGGATTTTTAAATTTAAATTCTAGAACCATACAAATTATACTGAATAATTTAACATTCATATGGCTTTATATTGACATTTGTAAGGTTTTAATAATAAAGCTTAATTTGCGATCTAGCTCGCATTGAAATGAGAAAATAAACAATAATTAAATAATGTTTTCACCAATAATTTCAGCATTAAAATTCTTGTCAATTAAAAAATCAGCAATTGACTCCTTTAGCTTCAAAATTATCACAGTCAATGCTGGAATTTTTAAAGTTTTCGTTTCACGAAATGAAACAGTCTTCGATATGAAGAAAATTATTTATTATGTCATGATTGAAAGTGATGAAAATTTACCATTTGAAGACATTGATATTGATGATGTTATAACATCCATGAAGCTCTTAAGGACAAAGACTAAAAGTTTATTGAATGATTCGGACCATTTAGACAAGCATAGCTTCAAAAATAATGAAGAATTTATGTTGACATTTAGACGTTCACACAATTCACTTTCAAACACCGATGAGATACTTTCTGGGCCAAAAGAATACCAAATTATTGAGAAAACGAAGAATTTACAAAGTTTAAAGCCATTGCCAGTCTACAATATCAATTATTTATTCCGACAAGACGATTTAAGGAAGGTTTTCATTACGCTAGCAAAAGAATCAGCCTACATCCTGTGCACGAAGCCTCAGTCATTGAAAATATTAAATTATTATCGCGAAAAGATGAACAAGTATATGAATAAGTACGAAAATGCCTTTAAAGTCATGTATAAATTAGGATTTTCACAAGATAATGTCAAGCTAGCGATGAAGCTAAATGCTAATAATTATAAATTAGCTTTAGATTGGCTGATTGATAATGTTAAGCAGCATGAAAATTTAAGGCTATCAAAATCACCACGACCATCATTAATATCCAACAAACGAACATCAATTCTGTCATCAAGCTTCGATCTAGCATCTGCTACAATCTCCGATCGACTTGATGGATTGCTTGGAATTGTTGAATTTTATGCCAAAATGGACGAACAAGTTTCTGATAAGCATCTTAAGGAAATGGTTCGGATGGGCTATGACGAAAAGGAAGCGTATGAAGCGTTGAGAACAATTAGAAATAATGTCGGTGCTGCTTGTGAATATTTAGCAGGTGATGTGAGCGGAAGCATTATGGAGTTACGCGTGGGACTTGATCAATCATGTCCAATTTATGAGATTCTCATGAAGACACCGGATTTACAGCAGCTTCTCACATTCTCGGAATCATTTATTTATTTCAATAAACTTCTCGAAGATCACATAATAGAATGGGATCCAATAGAAAATAATGGACAACTTTTGCGTCGAGTTATTATTAAGTATCATGAAGAGAAGCATTCGATGGTAACAAATCAATTTAACAGCCCAACAAAGCCCGCATCATCATCGCCATTAACATAATGAAATAAAAATATATGTATCTGTATGATATTTTGACGATCAAAATCAGTTTCTTTAATATTCATAATAATCGTATCTTATTCAAATTTTTAATTAAATGATATGAAATCAGATCATAAGAGAGTCGGCTCTCTTTGATTATTCTTATTTTACGGCATTGAGAAAAATTCAATTTTAGGCTTGGGATGGGTAACTTTTAGAAATTGTTTTATGTTTGGTAGCTGATTGGTTAAACTCTTTGCATTGATTGGTCTAAGGAGAGTATTTATTGGAAAGAAATCAAAAACCTATGTCTTATGATAGTTTAAGAGTCATACATTGAAGACGTATTTCGAAAATTGAACCTTTAAATCCCCTGCGAGCTTGGAGTAATGGGGCGATTCTCCAGAAGAATGGAATTTTTCAAAAGTGAATTGTAATTCTTCTTTTACTTGACACTTCAAATTTGAGAAAATCGTTAAAAAATATCTGTTTCAAACGATTTTTTCCGGTTCTATGGTTAATTGTTGATTGAAAATTTAATTTGTATGCATTTTAATGATTATTATAAGATAAAGTTTAGATCATTAACATTTTTGTGCCAAATAAACTACTGAAAGTTTTAAGATCGTAAGGTTTTTTTCAGTTTTTTTAAATTTTAAATTTTTCGTTGAGCAGATTTTCCCCTATAAAGCGTTTGCGTTGCTCGGCAACATTGCATTTTGTCCGAAGAATCGAATTTTCTCTTAATTAAATCATTAAATCAAAGATGTGTTATTTAAATATGATAAAAGTAAAGATGATCTACCATTTAGTATGTATTAAATGTAATAAAAATATTTCTTTGATAGTAATTTTTTGATTCTTCGTAATTGAATTCCATTTTTGGTTGCCGAGCAACGCTTAAAAAAATTGAAAAAAACTAAGGATTTAAGTTAATTAAAGATTTCTAAATGACTTTAAGAGATAGAATTTGGAAAAATACATCTGTTTTAATTAAGACCAAACATGATTTAGTGGGTATTGATAAGGTTTCTTTAAAGGCGATTGGCCAGCGACAGTCTTTTTCAGACGCAAACTAAGAGAGAGATCTTTATACGCATGTTAAGTTCCTTTACCGATAAAGTTGATCACAAAAATCTCACAGGAGATCTATTTAATAGGTACTACATCACACATGCCTCTTAAATTCTAATCAAATCATAAAAACTATCAAGAATTCTACATCCAAAATTATGTCATTCAAAAGCTTTCTTCGCCTAGTCTAGACTTATTTGCTCAAAAAATGTCTAGATCAAATAAATCCTCCATTATTTCTAGCAATAACAGGTCTAGTCATATGATAATCTCTGTTTATTGGTCAATATTTGTAGAATGATTTAAGACATTTCAAAAAAAGAAAATCATTTTAGACATTTACTAAGCGATCATCCCTTGATACCGCGGAAGATTTGAATTTTGTGACACCTTCGAGAGAGGAAAATATTTATGTAGATGAAAAAGATCATTATTATTATTGTTTTTGTTGGTTTGCGTCAAATTATAAACCGTAAAAAAGAGACTGAAACGCATTATAGCAACTTTTATTTTTTTTTTTTTTCCTCGAACATGTCCGAAATGTCTATTAGCAATGTGGCGTCTAAAATCTTAGATCCGAAAAAATCTCATGGATTTGTGTAAACAATTTTAGCATCAAGAATTGTTTTTCATATAAAATAACTGCCTGTACAGATGATTCATTATGAAGCATGCTTGCAGGGACTTTTAAAAACAGGTCTAGATATTTCCTCAATTTAAGGAGCGTTCCATAACCCCATTAGACTCCCTGACTACACCCATAAGTGCTTAATAAATTTTACAAAATGGTAATTAATAAGCTTGCACGACATTCTGCTGTCAAATCGATAAAATTCTTAGCAGAGCCGTTAAAAAAAATTGGCATTTATTAATGAAACAAAAAACGACAGAGCGAATAAATTTTTTGTTGATTTAAAAAGCGGCGACGAGCCATTTATGCCACATAAGCAGAAATATTTGAATGAGGTAATATCCGGTTTCAAGACCCATTTCCTTTTCACGCTATAAAACAACAATTAACGTTCATCTTCTTGTTCTTCCCTTCTTCAAGTTCCCTAAGTTAAATTAGTCAGCTCTTTCTTAGTCGTTCTTACAGGAAAAATACTTTAAAAATCTCACGATCATTCGAGCAAAGAATAATTATTTCCAACTTCTTGACTACGCACAGTTATTATTCATTCCTTCATTTCTTTTTTCTCTCCTTCCATTCATTCATTCAGTCATTCATTCACTCGTCGTTGTTTTTTTTTTTGCTGCTCATTCACAAAATAATAATGAAATGAATGAAAAAAGTTGATCGCCGATGCATTAAAATGTATGAATTTATTTTTAAAGAACAAAACAATAAGAAGCTTTTTCTGTGCAATTAAGTGAAAAGAATTTGAGCATTTTGTTGGTGTGGATGTCTAGATTTTGATATTTATGTACAAGAGAGACTGAGTTGAAGTGGCTCAGTGAAGCAAAAGATAGGAAAATGTTGCATGACTGTGAACATGGGTTCATGACTCATAAGTGGATGACTTCTTACGTTAATAAACTATTTATTAGACTTTGGGATCTTATTAAAGATGTAGCTAAGGACTTAAAGTCTTTATTGCTCCTTATCTCTACTCTAAATCATCTACAACTCTACAATAACAAGAAAACAGTGCTAAATTCTCTAATTTCATATGTAACCATTACAAGGTTGTATGTCAAACCAATACCCAACTGATCCTAAGCTCCCCGTTTCTAACCAAGTATTCATCAAAATATGCGCTTCAAATCCTTCACAATTCACCAAAAATCCATTCCATACTCCATTCCATTCCATTAAGTAAACGTTGGGCAGTAAAAAAAAGGTGAATAAAATAAATGAAAAAGCCTTGCATGGATTGGTGTCATCCAGCAGTCAATGTAATAAATCAAGCGTCAACAAAAACAACTTTTTTTTTCTTGCAAGCCTATTTGCTTGCGTTGCCTCCTTATTCGTACACTAGCCATCGACGACCTGCGGCCTGTATAATTTCATTCATAAAATTTTTGCAAAATTTATGAGTTTTTGTCGCGTTCTTTTTTCTTCCTTCTTCTCAATTTTCGTATTTCTTTATTTTTATTATTCACCATTTATTAATGCTGTTGTTATTATTTTCTTCATTTTTCTTTATTTTATGCATTTCCTTAATCACGAGGCAGTTGACTGGACCATGCTTTTCTGTCTTGGCTTCAATGTTTCAGGTTGAACGACGTAATTAGCAATCAACAAAATTGGTATACAACACATAAGAAATAATCATCATATGGCATTTTACATTCACAAATGAAGGTGACACTTTTTCGCCCACTCGCAAAATATTGAATTGGAAGTAGAGACAAGAAAACAAAATAACAGCATATACAATCTATAATATAAACAGCAGAACTGCTTAGCATTATTTTAATTTTTTTTTTTGATCGTATGATTTGAAATATATGTCTATAAAATATGCTCGTACATCGTTAGCGACGTATTAATTCATGGCATACCCTCCTTTCTGACAAACCCCTTTAAATGGCTTTTCTTTACGACTATAATTGAGAGGAAGAGACGTTTAACACTGAATGAATGAATTCTTTTTCTAAAAACGCGTTCTTTAAGATTTTACTGGATAAAGTGAGAACTTGAAGATTTATGCATCACAACAGGATAGATAAACTAGCTTTATTTTGGAATTAATTTTATGATTTGTATCAGAAATAAATATTGGTATCAAGTGATTGGCATTTTGTAAAATGAAAATAAGAATTGAAATTGAATGTTTAAGAAACTGAAAGATTATTTTAAGAAATTTAACACAGTCGAAGGTTCAAATCCCAATAATAATAATAATTCAATGTAGAAGTTTTTATATGAAAAAGTAGCGTTCGTTTTTACACGCTTTTTATTGAGTTGCTCTGTTGGTTTCTTTGTATGTCACGTTCAAATCTTGCGATCAATTTTTCGACCACTTCTACAGCTCCAATCGAGCTGAAATTTTTAATGCACACGTATTCCCGGTGACAATACAATATTTTACCACTTTAATACCACAATAATGCTTAATTATAGTACAATTTAAGTAAAACTTTTTTATATGGGAAAAAATCCAATGTCAATGATATAAAATTTTGATTTGTATTAAATATTATACTTGTGATGCTCTAAAGTCATTTATATGATTCATTAAAGTTTAATCAATATTACTAATTATTAATTATACTATAAATTTGAGCAGCTAAAGATATTCTGGTAAGACAAAAAAATTCACGTGTAATTTTTTCATGAATATTCGTAAGTGAAAATTTGAATTTTCAAAAAAACCGTTAAGCAAAAGTCCGTTACGAATTAATGCAAAATAACTATTAATATGCAATGTGCATTTAGCTCACAAAGTTTGAGCATAAATTTATGCTGCTTTTTAATGAATTACATTATTAAAAACACTTCACCAATTTAATTAAATTGACTTTTCTATTTATTAACGGTCTGACGTATTTTTGCATAACATATAAATGACATTCATTGAATTTAAATTTGAAAATCCGTTATAAATACGTTAAACACAAAATCTTTACGAGTGATTTTTAATGTAGTTAAAAAGATAATGTAGATAATTGAAGTTCAGGACATTTTTTTGAAGAGTTTTATGTGTTTCCAGGTATGACTTAAATTATAAAAACGAATGAAAAATTTTGACAGTCGTTACTAATTACCCATTTAAAAATGGGAATATATTAAAAGTTGAACAAAACGGAGTGAAACGAAGTGAAGTTGAATTTGAATTGTTGTGGTCGAAATTCGATTAAAAAAACGTTAAAAAAAACTTTTTAAAAAACACGCTTTTATCAAAAAGACTAAAAACCAAAAACTTGAAAATAAAATAAGATCACACTTTTAGCAAATCAGGATTTTAAAAATTTTCTTGTGACAACTAGAAATGTAACAT